AAGCCATGAAAAAAGAAATGCTTTCTTTTGTGGCTCCCTCCCTACTCCCTATCTTTGGATATAGGTATCAAACTCAGATTCTTAGTTTAGAGGAAGCTGGTTATAGCAGAAAGATAGACCTGAGTTCAAATCCTAACTATACCGTTTATTGGCATTGTGTCATTGAACAAGTCTAATTATGGTGCTTAGTAAATAACATATAAAGTACTTGGCTCATAATGATGCTCAATAAGTGTTAGTTTGTTCACCTCTGTAGATATAAATTATTTTGTTGTGTATGCCCTCCTAAGGAAGCATCAAGGATGTTTTTGCTTTTTACTTCTCCATATACTTTCATCACAATTCTCACAGGTTAAAAAAAAAAAAATCTAGGGTGCCTCGTTGGTTAAGTGTCAGACTCTCGATTTTTGGCTCAGGTCATGATCTCAGGGTTGTGGGATTGAGCCCCATGTCAGGCTCTGTGCTCATCAGAGAATCTGCTTGAGATTCTCTCTATCCCTTTCCCCGTGCTGCTCCCCCCTACTCATGCACACACTCTCTCTCAAATAAATAAATCTTTTTAAAAAAGAAAAAAATCCATCAAAGAACTGAAAATCATTTGAATTATCCTCCTTTTAGGTATGAGGCAAAAAGCATGAAGTTAGTAATAGGCCATAAACATAAATGGTTGTTCATACTTATTAATAATCAAGGCAAAGCAAATTGAGACCATAGTTAGATACAATACTAGATTGGCAAAAAATAAAAACATGACGGTTCCAAGTGTAGCTAGGATTTAACATTAACCAAAACACTCTTTCCTGGTGGGAGTGTAAGTCAGCACAACTACTTTGGAAAATAAATTGGCACTATCTTGTAAATGTTAACCTTTGTTTACCCTGTGACCCTGCAATCCCATTGCTTAGTATATATCCTGTGTTGACACTCTTATGCATATAGACCAAAAGACATGTACAAGAATGTTTATAGTGGCATGGTTGATGTCACCAAAAATGGGGAACAATCTATACAAGTAGAATGGATAAACTTTGTTATTTATATTCATATAATGCAGTCTTGGTAAAAATGAAATATAGCTATATGTAGTAAGTGGGTGAATCTTGTTAGCTTTTAATACTTAGTATTAAAAAAGCATATTGGCAAGACCACACATATATATAATACAATTTTTAAAGCTCTTAAACAATCAAAACTAAATGATATATTGTTTAAGAATAAAGCCATAATTAAAAAAAGGCAATGGAATAGAAAATAATGAAGAGGTAGAACCAATAAATTAAAATGAAATTCTAAAAAATATTCAAATAATACAAAAGAAGACAGAAGAGGAGGAATGAAAATGTAGGTGACAAATAGAAAATAAATAGTAACATTGTAGATCCAAATCTTATTGTATCAGATTACATTAAATGTTAATTAACTAAACAGTATAATTAAAAGGCAAAGATTATCACAATAGATAAAGCAAAATACAACTATATTTTTAAAAAGATTTATTTATTTCAGAGAAAGAGAATGGGGGAGGGGACGAGGGAAGAGGGAGAGAGATTCTCAAGCAGACTCCATGTTAGATGCAGAGTTGGACTTGGAGTTCAGTCCCACAACCCTGAGACCATGATCTGAGCTGAAACCAAGAGTCAGACACCCAACCGACTATGCCACCCAGACACCCCAAGATGCAGTTATGGTTTGTTTATAAGAGACATTCTTTAGGGATACCTGGGTGGCTCAGCCGTTGAGCATCTGCCTTCAACTCAGGACATGATCCTGGGTCCAGGGATCGAGTCCCACATTGGGCTCCCTGTGGGGAGCCTGTTTCTCCCTCTGCCTCTGCCTCTGTCTCTGCCTCTGTGTGTGTGTGTTTCTCATGAATAAATAAAAATCTAAAAAGAGAGACATTCTTTAAAATATAAAGAAATTGAAAAATAAGTCTTGTAAACCATGAGCATAAATAAGTGTAACAGCTATATTAATATCAGATAAAGTAGATTTCAAGACAGAAAGTCTTACTAGAAGATAAAGCAAAATCTTGCAAAAGAATCAAGTTAGAGGATTTATATTTCCTTCAAAACTTACTATAAAATCCAGTAGTCAAGATAGTGTGGGGCTGGCATAAAAACTGACAAATAGATCAATGGAACAGAATTAAGAACCCAAAAGTAGACCTCACATATACAGTCATTTGATTTTTTACAAGGGGCCAAGTAATCCAATGGGGAAAGGAAAGTCTTCAACAAATGGTACTTAAAACTAGGTATCCATGTGAAAAAAAAAGGAACCTCATCCCTCACCCCTGCCTGACACCATATACAAATATTTTTTCAGGATGGGTCATAGATAGACCTTATATATGATCAAGTATTTTTGTAACTAAAGAGTAAGCAAAAGTTTCTGAGGACATGAAAACAATAACCATAGGAGAAGAAAAATGCTAAATGTAATTGCAGCTTTCATACATTGTTGATAAGTGTAAAGTGTTACAAGCACTTTGGAAAAAGGCCTGGTAATTTCCTACAAAATTATGCATGCATCTGTCCCATTACCCAAGAGAAACAAAAACATATTTCCACCAAAACAACACAAAAAGGGCATCTGGGTGGCTTAGTCAGCTAAGCCTCTGACTCTTGGCTTTGGCTCAGGTCATGATCAAGCAGACTGTATGCTGAGCACAAAGCCCAACAGGGGCTGGATCTCAGGACCTTGATATCATGACCTGAGCCAAAACCAAGAGTCAGATGCCCAACTGACTGAGCCACCCAGGAGCCCCAGTACTAGTCTAGCTCTTAAGTAGAAAGGTATTTACAGGTATTCATTGTATTACTGTGCCTCATAACTTACATTTATCTTAAATATACCCTTTATATAGTTTTTATACAATTAAAAGATATGAGAATACATCAGAAGTTGAGCTCATTAATTGTAGTAATCGTAAGGAAGCACTATTTGTTAAATGAGATTCCAGGAAATCATTTCTATATATAATAGTTCCCTTGGGCCTCAAAATCTAACATTTACATTTGCTTATCTGAATCTTTTCATTTTCTTTCTTGCAAACTTTCCAGATTCTATTGACTCTAGGGACAATCAGTTATTTTCCTTTTAACACTCTTCAGTCCTTAAAGGGTGAATACTTCTGAACCTAAAACCTCCCTTTAGGCAATAGTTTAGCACACTATGACATTTAACTTTTGTTCTCTCTGTAGGTAGACTCTTTGCTATATTCTTTCCTTTGTGGGAAATAATAGGCATGCCTGAAATCAATAATGAAAATAGGGCACCTCGGTGGCTTAGTGGTTGAGCATCTGCTTTTGGCTCAGTTTGTGATCCTGGGGTTCTGGATCAAGTCCTACATCAGGCACCCCCCAAGGAGCCTGCTTCTCCCTCTGCCTATGTCTCTGCCTCTCTCTGTGTGTCTCTCATGAATAAATAAATAAAATCTTTTTTAAAATAATAAAAATAAACTGGGAATAAATGTTGTAGAATTTTAAGTAATAGTAGCTGACCAGGGATGGAGACAGAATGATACAGAGATGAATGGGGATAGTTCCATAAACATGAAAATGTAGGTGGCTCTCAGTGGCAGACAGTACACATACTGTTTGAAATTATTTTTGTCCTCCAGTTTTTATATTTGCCAAATAGAGAAAAAGTGACCAAAAAGCAAATATAAAATGTCAGGGAGAAAACTCAAAGAAAAACTTAGCACTTTAGCATTATTAATTCTGACATCTTTTCTTACTTTTTCTTTATGTCAGCATTCTTATGTACATAAAAATCTGTGTAATAACTTAAAAGTTCTAACCTAGGCCAGGGAGGAGTAAATGATATGCTTTTTTAATGCATGGGGAGGCAGTATTCTGTCATTTTTAATTCTAGCTTCACCACATGAGTTTCCTTGGGAAACTTATGTATTTCCTCTTTGTGAATTTCAGTTTCTTCATCTGTAAAATCCATATTTCACTGGATCTAAATTGCCATAACACCCTCAATTATTTTATGTACCACTAAGAAAAAATAGATAATGCAATTAAACTATGATTCAGTGCTTTTTTTTTATTGACTGAAGATATTTATCCTAAGCTGTTTGTATGTGTTAGAATCAGTGAGAAAAAAAAAATAGAATCAGTGAGAAATATAGTACCATCAGCCTTCTGAATTTTAAAAAGATTTTATTTATTTACTTATTTATTTGTTTGTTTGTTTGAAAGAGTGTGTGTGCTAGCAAACAGGGCAGCGGGGACAGGGAGAGGGAGAGAGAATCCCAAGCAGATTCTGCACTGAGTGTGCAGCCCAATACAGAGCTCCATCCCACAACCCCGAGATCATCACCTGAGTAGAAGCCAAGAGTCAGGGATAAAATAAAAATCTTAAAAAGAAAAAAAAAAGAAAAACTATTCAAAAAAAAAAAAAAGAGAGAAAGAAACCAAGACTTAACCAACTGAACCACCCAGGCACCCCTCAGCCTTCTGAATTTATAAATAGGACACTGTACTTAAAGCATTGAGCAAGGAGCCTGGTACATTATAAACAATAAGTAGTAGCCATTGTGTTGAGGTTAACTGTTCAGGATTTGATCATGAGCACTTTGTGAAGTGCTGCTCATTGTTTAGGTTCTTTGGGGATCAAAATTATTAATAGATCATCTGAATGAGATTTGTTGGCGGTAATCAGAATGCCCACTCATTTTGAATTTGAAGTAGCGTAAAGTGGCATAACATCTTTAGTTGTTTTTCAGAGGTAATGCTTTAACTGTTAGCATTTTGTTATCAATGAAATTTGTTTGTAGACTATTGTTGAAATTTCTTCCAGAAATAAATTCTACTGATACATATCAACCTTCTGTGTTAGTTGAAGTTGCTATTTATGGAGAGAATTTGTTCAAGTGCACAAGATGAATGAGATAGTCCTACATGTAAAGCTTAGTAAAATTGCATTGTTGGTATTATGGTATGAGACCTCAGGTTTTAAATTATTTTTTTATCATTTTCTTGTCTATGCAGGAGGCAGACAGTGGGGAGGAGGAATGCCGGTCACAGCCCCGGAGGTATGTTTGTATATTACATTCTGTAGCATTTCTGGAGTTAATGTTTTTTCTCTAATTCTTACCTAGTCTTGTTAGATTAGCTTATTCTAGTTTTCCAAGATGCTTAATTGGTCTCTCTAAATGGGATTGCTTTAAGAATCCAGTTATTGACCCAAAGATTTGAAATGGTAGATTGCATTATGTTGTACACATGAAACTAATATAATGTTGTATGTCAATTATACGTATACACATACATATATAAAATAGTAGATTGCTTTAAGAAAGTGCAGATATGGGGATCCCTGGGTGGCGCAGCGATTTGGCGCCTGCCTTTGGCCCAGGGCGCGATCCTGGAGACCCGGGATCGAATCCCACATCGGGCTCCCGGTGCATGGAGCCTGCTTCTCCCTCTGCCTGTGTCTCTGCCTCTCTCTCTCTCTCTCTCTCTCTCTCTCTCTCTCTCTCTGTGACTATCATAAATAAATAAAAATTAAAAAAAAAAAGAAAGTACAGATATGCCAGTATTGGCCCAAATTTTACCCAAGTCTGGAGACTCTTGAGTAATAAAAAAGGTTTTTAAAAAAATAATTAATTAAAAAGTAATTTTTCATTACCTTTTAGGAAAATTTCAGCCTTCAGTTTTGTACTTAGGTTTATTATTCATTTTGATAGATATTTAAATTCTTACAGATTGGTCAATATTTCACTTCCTAAATACAAAGGATATACTGAGTTACTTACCCAGTCCTTCAAATAAAATGAATACTCAAAGAGTAGTAGGAATGTTGTTAAAAGGGTACCAATACCTGCTGCCAGTAAAACAAAAAGATTATGAGAGATATTTAGGAAGTATATAATAATATTTTTGTTATCTTCTTAAGTTTTTTTTTTTTTTTAAGTGGCTTTATAAATCAGCTTTATTCCCTAAGAACAGTCCTGGTAAGTTCAAGATGGTCATTTAAATACTACCAAACTTGTATCCTTTGAACTCAATCACATGAGCCATTCTGAATAATACAGAGGCAGTATACACTAAGCATGTTCAATGTGGAGAACCTGGTTAAAGGGAATGCTCCCTTAATGATGAATTGATTATCAAGTCCTTGTTGCTGTATACCATCCTTGTAAACTACAAGTTTATATAAAAATAGTTCCTTTTCATCAGTAACTGAGACTTATTGACAGTATTTTTCCTGTCTTGGTTAGCATGAAAAATTAGACTTGGGGGCACCTGGGTGGCTCAGTGGTAGAGTGTCTGCCTTTGGCTCATGTCATGATCCCCCGGGTCCTGGGATTGAGTCCCACATCAGGCTCCCTATAGGGAGCCTGCTTCTGCCTCTGCCTATGTCTCTGCCTCTCTCTCTCTCTCTGTCTCTCATAAATAAATAAATTAAATATTTTTTTAAAAATTAGGCTTGAAGCTTAATTTCTCACTATCTCCTGGGGATGATCTGACAGTGAAGTGTCATTCTTTTGCATAGGGCTAAGAGATAGAAACCAGAAAAAATTTTAGCTGAATGATTACCAGAGGTATCACAACCTTATTCCCATTAGAGTGAAAAAAAGGATTCCAAAAGATTCTAAATTTTCTAGTAGGCCAAATGTAAAGATCTTTGGGTTAATTTCAAGCTTTATGTGTTGGCTTGGCATCTACTGGGTTAATTGTTGTTCCAAAAATTACATAACAATGAGGCAATGCAAGTTTACTCTCATTCACAATCCTGAATTGTTAAACCATAAAGACCACTGTTTTTAAAGTTGTCAACAATAAATCATTAATATGACGAGCAGAGGAGATTTGTAAACTTCTTCTATTTACAAGAAAAGGATTATTTATACAAAGAAGAAATGAAGAAAAACCTGGAAGCACCCACATTTTTAAAAATCAAAATTTACGGGGCTGCCTGGGTGGCTTAGCGGTTTAGCGCTGCCTTCAGCCAAGGGCCTGATCCTGGAGACCCAGGATCCAGTCCCATGTGGAGCTCCCTGCATGGAGCCTTCTTCTCCCTCTGCCTGTGTCTCTGCTTCTCTGTGTGTCGCTCATGAATAAATAAATAAAATCTTTTTAAAAAAATCAAAATTTGGGCAGCCCGGGTGGCTCAGCGGTTTAGTGCCGCCTTCAGTCCAGGGCGTGGTCCTGGAGACCTGGGATTGAGTCCCATGTCGGGCTCCCTGCATGGAGCCTGCTTGTCTCTCTCTCTCTCTGTGTGTGTCTCTATGAATAAATAAAATATTTTTTAAAAAATCAAAATTTACTTACCTGCTGTAATTTCTTACATTCAGCATATTTCCCAGGCTATTTCTAAATCTAATTACTTTAGTCTGACTCAAAGCAAAAAAACTCATCTTAAGTGCCAGTTGAATGTCCTTTGTATCTAGATGGTATAGAAGAGGTTGGTTTTTTTGTGTGCTTAACTACTACAGATTATTTGGGCATTCTCCATCACTTATCACAGAATAAACCAGCACTAAGTTAGCATCATTTCGTTGAGCGTGCCTGAATTCATCTTTTCAGTTTGCAGGTTCAATTGTGGTTTGTAGTAGATAATTAAATAGTAAACAGCATATTATTAAAACTAATGCCGGTTCCAGGTAATAAAAGAAAAAGTTGCATTAATTATCTCTTATCTTAAGCAAATGCTACTTATTGGGAAAGTCGTAAGTTAAAAGTAATCATTTAATATCATTACCCCAAACTATGAAGTCTTTAAAAACCAATGTTCCCAGGCAACAAAAATAAATTAGTCTGTATCAAAATTTTTACAAACCATATAACTGATAAGGGGACAATATCCAGAATATATAAAGAACTCTTACAACTCAACCACAACATCAACAAAAGAACAACCTGTCTTACTCAGCTCTGGCTCCTATAACAGAATTCCATAGACTGAGAGGCTTAAACAAAAGGATTATTTCTTACAATTCTGGACGCAGGAAAATCCAAGATCAAGGTGCTGGCAGATTTGGTTCCTGGTAAGAGCTTTCTTTCTGACTTTCAATAGCTGTCTTCTTTCAACAGCTGTATCCTCATATAGCTATGTGAGAGAGGGTACTCTGGTCTCTTCCTCTTTTTTTTTTTAATTTTTATTTATTTATGATAGTCACAGAGAGAGAGAGAGAGGCAGAGACATAGGCAGAGGGAGAAGCAGGCTCCATGCACCGGGAGCCGGACGTGGGATTCGATCCTGGGTCTCCAGCAAAGGCAGGCGCCAAACCACTGCACCATCCAGGGATCCCTGGTCTCTTCCTCTTATGTGGACACTAATCCTGTCATGGGAGCCCCATGGCATCATTGTGACATCATCTAACCCTAAATTCCTTCCAAAGGCTCTCATTTCTAAATACCATCACATTGGGGGTTAGAGCTTCAACGTATGCATTGAAGAAACACACAAATATTCACTTCAGTACATTCTATCTTGCCCCCTGCAAAATTCATGCCCCTTTCACATAAAAAAAAATCCATTCCAGCAACCCCAAAAGTCTTAACTCATTTTAGCATCAACTCCAAAGTCTGAAGTCCAAAGTCTCATCTAAATATCTCATCTAAATATGGGACACCTGGGTGGCTCATTCAGTTAAGCATCTGCCTTCAGCTCAGGTCATGATCCGAGTCCTGGGATCAAGTCCCGTATCAGATTCCCTGCTCAGGGAATACAATCTTTAAAAAATATATTTCATCTAAATCAGATATGGGTGAGATTAGAGGCAAAATTTTTCTCCAGCTATGAACTATGAAACCAGGTAAACTATGTATTTCAAAACACAGTGGTAAGATAAGCTTAGGAAGACATTCCCATTCTGAAAAGGAAAGAAAGAAGATGTGACAGGCCCCAAGTTAATCCAAAACTTAGCAAGGTAAATTCCATTAGATCTTAAGGCTCAAGAAAAATGCTCCTTGGTTTGATATTCTGCACTGGGGACCCACTGGGGCAGTTGTCCTGCTTTCAAAACTCCCTAGAGTTGTGTCATCCCCAAGGCTCAGCAGAGCAGTCCTGCACCTTTGGCTCCCTTGAAGTGCCACCCATCTGGTGTTCTGCAAGGGCCCATCCACTTGGCACTCTGCTAGGCAGCAGAACCAATGTAAAGGCAGCTTTGCACTATGGATTTTTAGCTGGAGTAGCAGTCCTGATGATCTCTGAATCGCCGTTGGGTCCTTCTTCCCTTTTCTTGAAGGATAATGTATGTTCACAGCTTCCCTTCATTCTGTCTTGTTTTCTTTGCTTCCTTCAGTCCCAGCTGGCTGGTATAAATCCCATCTCTATTCCTAGTTTCTGTGGAGAAGTCCATGGTTTCTACCCAGCTTAATCACCACACCATTAGTGTTCTCTTCTGAACATGCTTTCTCATTTTTTACAATATAGACAGAGAACTTTGCAAGTCTCTAAGTTCTGTTTCCTTTTTGCTTAACGACCACTTCATTTCTTTCTTCTCATATTTTACTGTGGGCAGTTTGGAGGAAGTAAGCCGTTCCTTCAGTGCTTTGCTTAAAAATCTCCTGAGCTAAATATCTAATTTCCTCACTCACAAGTTATACTTTTCATAAGACACTAGAACATGAACACAATTCAGCTAAGTTCTTTGCTACTTTATAACAAGTATTGCCTTTTCTCCCTTATCCAGTAACATGTTCCTCATTTCCATCTGAGACCTCATCGGAATGGACTTACTGCCCATATTTCTACCAACATTTTGTTCATGATTTGATATATTCTTTAAGAAGATAAAGGGCTTTTTCTCCAGCCCTTCTCTTTTCTTTCTGAACTCTCACCACAATCTATTAACACTCCCTTCATGACAATCTTATCATTTTCTAGCATGCACCTCAGAATTCTTCCAGCCTCTAGCCATTACTCAATTCCAAAGCCACTTCCACATTTTTAAGTATTCATTATAGCAGCACCCCACTTCTCAGTACCAAAATCTGTATTAAGGTTTTCCAGAGAAAAAGAATAGGAAATAGATAGATAGATTTAGTATAAGGAATTTGTTCACAATTATGGAAGCTGGGAAGT